GGGTCTTTGGTCTTTGAGGGTCTTGGCGTGTTGGGGTCGTGGGTCGTGGGTCTGGGGCATCTTTGGTATTTGGGTCTTGGGTCTTGGGCGCATTGGGTCTTGGGTCTTGGGGTCGTGGGTTTCTGGGCCTCGTGGGCCTTGGGTGTCTTGGGTCTTGGGGTATTCGGGTCATGGGCGCCTTGGGGGAGGGGGGGGGTCTTGGGTCTTGGGCGTCTTGGGCATGTATTGGGGTCTTTGGGTTTGGGTCGTCTCTCTCTCTCTCTCTCTCTCTTTCTCTCTCTCTGTCTCTCTGTCTCTCTCTCTCTCTCTCTTTCTCTCTCTCTCTCTCTCTCTCTCTCTCTCATCCTCCCTCCCCTCGACCTCCGATCCTCATCCTCGGGCACTCTTCCCAGTCCACCTCCGCGCAACCAAAGCTGGGACCATAGTATTGTGACGCTGCGTGACGCCAGCTACGAGGGCTAGTGGTTTTCAACATTGTTTCAACATGGAGTTTTTCGAATTGATCCTCTCTTTTTGTTCGCGCTCTGCGCGGCCGCCGCCTTCACGGTCGCTGTGGCGTTGGTTGAGGACCCCTGGAAGGATGACGACCCTCGGTAGCCTTGCGAGGCCCAGGTCTTGTTTGCGGGCGTCGTCTTCTTGAGGTACGGCGCCTGCGGCGTCTTCCGAGCCGTTGGCGCCGTTGCTGGTTGGCAGCAGCTTGGGTGGCCGCGCCTATATTGGCGGGCGGCACTGCAACGTTGCTGACCAGTCGCGCCACCGTTGTGCCCCGCTGCTGCTGCTTGCTGCTGGGCCTCCTCAGGCCCATTGACCATTGAGCCCTTGGGCCCTTGGGGTCCCGTCTTGGGTGCTCTGGCTTGTGGACCCTGTACAGTGCCCGCCCCGGTGCAAGGGCCGTTAGGCGTGCTAAAGTGCAAGCAAGTTTGGGTGGGAGGTCTTGGGTCTTGGGTGCTCTGGCCTGTGGACCCTGTACAGTACCCGCCCCGGTGCAAGGGCCGTTAGGCGTGCTAAAGGCTAAAGTGCAATCAAATTTTGGGTGGGAGGTCTTGGGATACGGGATACGTGTATACATACACATGTGACATGTGTGTATATATATATATGATGGTATATGGTATATGGATACATGGCCAATGTGTACATATGTGGGTCGGTAGGTGTCTGATGCGATGAACAATTCTCAACGGTGAGCCATGATTTCGAATCGGCGCTCCCAGGGCCACCTGCTGCGTTGGCGCCATTTCGCGAGGTGCGCGCGCTGTGAGGGCTTCCTGTGGTCGACGTAGCCATGCCGCTCTTTCCCCGGGGGCCGTTGACTGGCAAATGCGCGCTGGGCCATCGTGGTTGACCTCAGAGTCGCTCGCGTCGGACGTCCTGTTGGCGGTTCGGCTTGCGTTTGTTCATTGATTTTTGATGATGTCCGCGTGGCGCGGCGTTTGGAGGTCCCCGGGGCGCGCCAATACGATGAGTTTTCATGATTGAATTTTAAGCATTCCAGGTATTCTAGGGTATGAATTCCAGGCATTCCAGGTATTCTAGGTATTCTAGGGAATTCAGCAATCTGGGCATTCTTGTCATTCTTGTCCGGCCTCCGCTTCATGGACGACTGGGACCGCACAGGTCTTGGGCCGTCTTGGACTCTCTTGGGCCGTCTTGGAGGCCGTCTTGGACCATCTCGGGCGGACTTGGAGGCCATCTTGGGCCATCTTCGCGATTTTTTGAGGACGTCCCGAGCGAAACGGCCGTTCTTGGAGGATTTTTTGCGGTCGTTGAGCACGTTTGGGAAAATTCCGGGTGGCCGGCGGGTTCTGCCGGAGCCCACTGGGGAGTTCTTTTGGAAAAAGAACCAAAACCTGAAACATCCAGCACGCCGTGCACCCCTGCAAGCAGGGGGCGGCGGATCCAGCTGCCTACGGCAAGTCCCGCCACCGTGCCAGCCCAACACCACGTTCTCGAGGGACGCCGTGGCCGCCCAGGGAGACGCCATTTCCGCCCAGAGACCTCCGGGAGTAGGGGTGGTGCACGCAAGTGGGCGCGACGTGAGGGGAGGGTGTGCCCCTCAGAAGACTAACGGCATGCTCCCGATATTCACCTCCAGGGGACAATCATGTTTGGGGTGCCGGGGAAATGAGATGGAGGGATTTACTAATACCTTGCTCGCTCTGGCGGATCCTCCCTGGCGTTCTGGGGAGGCCTCTCTGGTGGGGGGAGGAGCAGGAAACAGCTTGAGAAACAGTATGCTGTACTCATGCCCTGCTCGCTCTGGCGTGACCTCCCTGGCGCTCCGGCGGGGTCTCCCTAGAGGTGTGGGAGGAGCAGAAAACCTGAGAGGCGCGGACGCATGCGGGCACCGCATGGGCATTTGGAGCATCTCCCCAGGGAGCCAGGAACCGTGGGAAGGAGTGTGCCAAAATGGAGGCCTACGAGAGATGATGATGATGATGATGATGATGATGATGATGATGATGATGATGATGATGATGATGATGATGATGATGATGATGATGATGATGATGATGATGATGATGATGATGGTGATGGTGATGGTGATGGTGATGGTGATGGTGATGGTGATGGTGATGATGGTGATGGTGATGGTGATGATGATGATGATGATGACGATGACGATGATGATGATGATGATGATGATGATGATGCTGATGCTGATGCTGATGCTGATGCTGATGCTGATGCTGATGCTGATGCTGATGCTGATGCTGATGCTGATGAGGATAGGGATGAGGATGAGGATGAGGATGAGGATGAGGATGAGGATGAGGATGAGGAGGATGAGGAGGAGGATGATGATGACGATGATGACGATGATGACGTTGATGACGATGACGATGACGATGCTGATGCTGATGCTGATGCTTATGCTGATGCTGATGCTTATGCTGATGCTGATGTTGATGCTGATGCTGCTGCTGATGCTGATGCTGACGATGAGGATGAGGATGAGGATGAGGATGAGGATGAGGATGAGGATGAGGATGAGGATGAGGATGAGGATGAGGATGAGGATGAGGATGATGATAAGGATGGGGATGATGGTGATGGTGATGGTGATGATGGTGATGATTGTGATGGTGATGATGTGATGATGCTGATTTATATTATGATGAGTATGTTGACTATGCGGACAATGATGCCGATGCTGATGCTGATGATGGTGATGCTCATAGTGATGATGCTGATGCTGATGCTGATGCTGATGATGGAGATGATGGTGATGATGGTGATGGTGATGGTGATGGTGATGGTAATGGTGATGATGATTGAGATGTTGGATATGATGGTGATCATGGTCATGGTCATGGTGATGGTGATGGTGATGGTGATGGTGATGGTGATGAGGATGCTGCTGCTGCTAATGACGAAGCTGGTTATGATGATGATGCTCATGCTAATATCCTTAATAGTGAGGATGATGTTGATACTCATGTCAAGAAGACTCTAGCAGCGATGTGTGCTTGCCGCGGAGATATGAAGTTCGGCGTCGCCCCTCCCGAGGAGGAAAAGGAGGAGGAGGAGGATGAGGAGGAGGAGGGGGAGGGGGAGGGGGAGGCTTTAGTATCTGGGGCATGCCGCTACAGAAGCCCTGCCAGGCAGCATCTGGGCGTTCTCCCACGCCTCGGCGTGCCAGGAGGGCACAGTGGCGGGTCGAGTCGCCACGAGGCGAGCGCGCTCTGAGGGCAACGGTCCCAGGGTCTGTCGCCCGGTTCGGCCCCCCGTGGCCCTTTCTCTTGGCATCGCTCGGACGTGTGCATTTTTTTCTTTCGGCGAGGACAATCGAGGAGCATCCTTGATCGTTTGGCGAAAAAACCACGCACGAAACCGAAAAAAACACACGGGTATGGACGTCCGAGCGATGGCGAGTTCTACGGGTCCTCGGATGAAGAGCTTGCCCCACGGGGAAAGCCCAGGGGGTCTGGGACTCGTTCCCTTCAGACCCCTTGCGCTGCATGGTGTCTCGGCCTCTCGAGCCTATGGGAAAACACAACACAAAACACACACACACACACATTGTGTTTTTTCCCACATGGTCATTGGGTTTTTTCCCCACAGACTTTCCGGCACAGGGACCCTCGGAAAATGACATGGGATGAGGGGGCGGGGGGGCACACATCGAAGGACTCGAAGCGCCGAGCTTCTGGTCTCCTCTTCTGTGGGCCAAGATGTTCTCCGACGCATCTCCACCTCGGCCTTTTCCTCGGCCTATTCTTCCTCCGCCTCGTGCTCCTCCTCTTCGTCCTTCTCCTCGTCGTCGTCTGTGGGCCTCCTCGTCCTCCTCCTCGACCTCTTCCTCCTCCCTCTCGAGGCTGGGCGCTGGGGCCGTCCGGCGGCGCCTCTGGCGCCGCCCCTGGCGCGCTCCGCGCGCCAGGGAGGGGGGTCCAGCGCCGATCCGAGAAATCCGCGCGGACCTCCGAGTTTTTATGTTTATGCCACTTTTTGTTCCCCTAGCAATGCCATTTAGGTCGGGACGATCGAAATCGGTACGGAAAGACTGCGCACAAGGACCGACAGCAGTTCTTGTTCATGTCCCACAGGACTCGCTGTTGGTGTGTCGCCGCGGCCTGTGTCCATTGGACACAAGGTCGCCTGTCCAACAGCGGCCGCTGTTGGTTTGGGGCAGCATTTGATGTTGGGCGCTGTGCCCCTTTCTGTCCGTACCCACTTCGGGCGTGCAAACTGGTTGGGGATGGGCTCATGGGGGGGGGGGAGCCTCCACCCTCGACCGCCCATTCATCGCCTACCGGGCGCCTGTCGCCAGTCTTTCGGCGATTCCTCGCCGACTCCAGGTCGAAGCCTGTCCCCTGTGGTGGTTTTCGGGCCACAGGTTGGCTCTCTGGCGGCTGCCCGGGAGGATCCGGGCAGCCCCAGAACGCTCGCGGCGAGGCGCAGCCGTTGGAAGGCGTCTCGAGGATGGAGAGCCATCGAAGAAGGACGAAAACGTCCTCGAAGCTCGAATCTCGAACCCGAAACCTTGCCGATTAGCGCAGGAGCTCGGAGAGTTCACTGATCGCCAGATGGCGCAGCTGCGCGGCGTGATCGAGGACAGGCCGGCCACCACCTGTCTGGGAGAGCTGTGCGACCAGACCCCCTCGCGTCGTCGCCAAAAGCTGCGACAGGCGTTTTTGTGCATCGTGTCTCGTGGCGAGAGCACCCCTACACCCCCGACACGGCCGTGTCGTGGAAAAGCCACCGCGGAAGATGTTTGGCAGTTCTCTGCCCCTTCGGGGGACCCTGCCCGGGCCACGGGACCGCCAAAGCACGATTCGCTCGGGATGGACCTCCGGCAGGGTGGCCAGACCTCTGGGGGTCGAGGCTAGAAGCAATCGGCTACGCGCAGGAGTTGATAGACCTGTTTTCCACCACCACCACCACCATGAGCTGGACGGGGGGAAGGAGGTGGAGGAGGAGGAGGAGGAGGAGGAGGAGGAGGAGGAGGAGGGGAAGGAGGAGGAGGAGGAAGAAGAAGAAGAGGAGGAAGATGAGGAGGATGAGGAGGAGGAGGACCCCGTCCCTCTCCTACTTACGGTGGTGGCGATGGAAAACAAGCCCGCCAAGAGTGACCTTTAGCCGGAGTGACCTTGGGTGCGGGCAGTCCGGGTCCCCAACATCTCCTAATAAAAGGGATGCGGTGGCAGATGCTGGCAAGCTCAGGTTCGGCCCCCCTCCGCGCTCCCCCAGAGATCCGATGTCGTGTTGTTTTTTTTTTTTTTTTTTTTCAATACGCGGTCCCCCGAAGTCTCGACCCATTCCCCAGGACCGGTGTTTCATCCTGAGTCGTTTTTTCACGGTCCTGGGGCCCGGCGAGGGCCCCTAGAGGCCGAACATTGAGAAACGTCTGCGTCTTGATGTTTGTCAATACGCTGGATCTCTGGGTCCGGGCCCTCCCAAAACCGCGCACCAAAAAGGTCGTTCTTGCATAGGGCAGCTCCCGCGTGTATGTAGCCAAAGCACGTCACGACGTCGGGGGTCAAGGAAGGCTGCCCCCCTGGGGAAGCCCACGGCTGCGACGCCCCTCTGTTGGAGAGGTCGTCGATGCCACGGCTTTTCGGCCAGGGCATGGACATCCCTGAGATCACGACGTTCTTCCTCCTCCTTCTCCTCCTCCTCTCACCCCTCCTCCCCCTCCTCCCCCTCCTCCTCCTCCGCCCCTCCTCCTACCCATCCTCCCCCTCTCTCTCTTCCTCCTCCTTCTCCTCCTCCTCCTCCTCCTCCTCCTCCTCCTCCTCCTCCTCCTCCTCCTCCTCCTCCCCCTCCTCTCCCCCTCCTCTCCTCCCCCTCCTCCTCCTCCTCCTCCTCCTCCTCCTCCTCCTCCTCCTCCCCCTCCTCCCCCTCCCCCTCCTCCCCCTCCTCCTCCTCCTCCTCGTCTTCTTCCTCCTCCTCTTCCTCCCCAGAGATCCAGAGTGTTGAACAACACAAGGGGCAGGCTTTCCACCAGTTTCGGCCTCTGGAGGCCCTCGGCGGGCCGCGGGATCGCCAAAGGCGACTCAGGATGAGACAACCGGTCCTGGGGAAGGAGGCGGGTTTTCTAGAGGACCCCTATTGAACAAATCCTCCTCCGTTTCCTCCTCCTCCTCCTCCTCCTCCCCCTCCTCCCCCTCCTCCTCCTCCTCCTCCTCCTCCTCCTCCTCAGAGATCCGGAGTGTTGAACAAAACAAGGCGCAGGCATTCCAGCAGTTTCGGCCAGGGGAAGGGGCCGGGTTTTCTAGAGAACCCGTATTGAACAAATCACGAAGTTGGATCTTCGGGTCTTCCTCCTCGTGCTCACACCAGGCGTGGTCCCTCGGCTCCGGGCCCTGGGACCAGCATAGATTGATCGGGCTCGGCAGGTGCAGCAGAAAGCCGGGGTCTTAAGCCGGGCCTGTCCATCTACAGGAGGAATATTCGAACATAGTTTTTAACACATGCTTTGGGGATGATTTTTAATGGTTGGATTTGTGTGGACTAGTTTTACGTGTTCGGCCAAAATCCGCCTGTAGGCAGACATGCCCAACCTAACGATAGGTTCATGCGGCGGTGGCGCGCCGGCTACACTGGCGAAGGCGTTCAAGGTTGATCTCCGCATGCCAGAGCGACGCGGAAGCACCGAGGGACACGGTAACGCTACGGGACCCGACGGGATCCAACCTGGAATTATCGGGCCGCGATCGGTTCAAGGTTGCACGATCGCCGAGGTGTCAAACACTCGTGCGCGCGGCGACGCCGCACGAACCTGCCGTAGGGCTCTGGTCGCGATTTTCCGCGATGCTGCAATCTTGTGCGCCAAGTCTAAAGGGGCCCCAGGAAACACGTGTTTCCCATGTTTCCCCATATTTTCTAGGTGTTTGTCTTCCCCCCCACTTCCTATATTTTCCCATATTGTCTTGGGGATCGACGATTAATTGTGTCTGTGTGTTTTTGTTCCCCTCCTGAAAGTCGGATCTCAGGGAGCGCTGCTGCCCCCAGTCGTGGCTGGTCGCGAGGAGTCCCTCAGGGCCGTGCTCCTGCTGGAGCGCGGGGCGAGCCACGGGTGCCAGCACGAAGGAGCGGCGCCGTGCGGCAAACGGGCCCCAGTACACGCCGGTCGTTGAAAGTAGGTATTTCTGGATTACCAGATCCCAATCTATTTCAAGCGCCTTCCTACTTCAAGAATCGGCACGCTTTTGCTGTGTTTTGTTATTCTCTGGGAGGACCTGGACTCAATCCACTATATCCGCCTTCCTACTTCATGTTTTTACCTACTTCTGCAGATCGACGTGTATTCTTCTCCGTGTTCGGGCTCTCGGGGCCGGGCGGGGCCCGCAGAAAGCGAGGCGATCTGTCGTGTGGCAAATCCTGGGGGCCTCGCGCGGCGCGCAACAGTTGTATGATCTAGTCCACACGTCAGCTCCGTGAGCTATGGGCCGACGCTCGCGCGTCGATGCTTCGGCGTCAGTCCGTCGCAAATTCGTCGCAATCTCGACGTAGTCCGACGTGTACCCGACGTACATCCGACGTGGATCCGGCGCAAATCGGGGCTCAAGTTCCTGCGCCAGGCCTCCAGGATGTTCTTCAGACATTGGAGGCCCATGCCAAAAAACACCCTGCTTGCCTCCAGGGTGTCTGGGTTTCTTGAGTCTCGATGGTCTTGCGATGGAAAGCGCGGCGTTCCCACACCAAAAAACCAGTGGACATCCTGGGGTCTGAGGGTTGGGTTTCTTGTGGTGGGTTTCTTGTGGTCGGGGCCCGCGGGCTCCTTGACGCGCCCGGGCCCTCCCTGCTTCCTGCCAAGAGGAGGTCCTAGCTGCGGCCATCAGCACTCCGACGGCGCGAACCTGGTCGGCGTGGTGGAGTTGGACGGCGGCCCCCTGGGGCACTGCGGGACATCGGCCACGCGCAGAGGGGGGGATATGGGGAACGCACACTGGCACGAACAGAAGAACTCGGAGGTCCGCGCGGATTGCTTGGATCCGCGCCGGACCCCCTCCTTGGCGCGCGGAGCGAGCCAGGGGCGGCGCCGGAGGCGCCGCCAGGGGTCCAGCGCCGATCCGAGAAATCCGCGCGGACCTCAGAATTTTTATGTTTATGTCATTGTTCGTTCCCCTAGGTTAGGGGAAAGGGGCGCTTCTTGGAAGCACCCCCGTGCCTCTTCGGAAGGCGTGGGCCTCGTCTGCAGATGCGAGGCACGCGCCTTCAAAAAAGCAGCCTCACTCCAAGAAACCTTCCCCCCTCCCCCTACCCCCCTGGTTAGAGCCGCCAGGAGAGGAGGAAATGGAGGAGGAGGAGGAGGAGGAGGAGGGGGAGGGGGAGGGGGAGGGGGCAAGCTAGGTGCGCTCGCGTCATATCTGACATCCTACCCCTCCCTCTCATCCCTTACCATGGCGCAGATCCTCTCTCTACTCGCACAGTCGGATGTCGAGCAGGGCAATGATCCCGAAAGGGTACGCGATGCATCGTAGAGCACGGCATGGCATGGCGTAGACGAGCACCGCAAAGCGTAGTATCAACCTAGCATTGCATTGCATGCCGTGGCATGGCACGGGAAATGACGCCAGCGCTGCAGCGGGCGCACGAGTCGAAACGAGCGGAAGCGCGGAAATGAGGCCAGCGCTGCAGCGGGAGCACGATTCGGAATGAGCGGAAGCACGGAAATGAGGCCAGCGTTGCAGCGGGAGCACGATTCGGAACGAGCGGGGCCCGAAAATGAGGCCGGCGCCTCAGCGAGAGCAGCATTTTGAAAAAAATGCAGGCGAAACCCCAACTCCGGGGAAACCGGTGTATAAAAAACAGTACGCGGGAGGGGGGTCGAGCAGTTTCAAACCGTCATCAGGGAAAGAGGGAGAGTGATATTCATATTGAGTAATTGTAGAAGGAGGAGGAGGAGAAGGAGGAGGAGGAGGAGGAGGAGGAGGAAGAAGAGGGGGAGGGGGAGGGGGAGGAGGAGGAGGAGGAGGGGGAGGAGGTGGAGGAGGAGGAGGAGGAGGAGGGGGAGGAGGAGGAGGAGGAGTCTAAAAAGCCTTCCCCCTCCCCATGAGTCCCCCCCCCCTCTGCACTCCGCCAAGGACGAGTCAGTCGTCGGCGGTCGGCGGTGCCCTGTCGCTCGAGATTGGCGGGGCGGCCAGTCCGGGGTCGAAGAAGGCTCGGCGGCGCGCTTCAAGGAGGGCTATGGCGCGAGGGGGTCGGCCTTGTGGGGAGCCGCGGGGAGGCATGGGCCTTCTGGTAAGTCGGGCATGCCCCCCTACAGTTATGATGTTCCTACCTACTCTTAGCCTCGATCGCCAAAAAGAGCTTCGAGCACCAAGAAAGTGCCAACACTTTGGGCTTTGTAGTGTCGGGCCCTGGGAGGTGACACCCTTTCGTCACTGTTTCGACATTTCTCTTGGTGATCGAACTTATTTCTGGGATGTGGTCCTTAAGTTCGATGGGGGCAACACAACTCTACAGGAGGAATCCTGCAACATGGTCAAGTAATAATCCCTGGACGATGTTCTTGAGCATATCGGAGTATGTTTGAGCATGCTTTGAATACCTGTTGTGCTTCTTCCAGGAACCGCCTGCATGGGGGACATGCCCGACCCAATGTTTCTGAACGCTTCCCGTCTATCCGAACCAACCGGTTCAGAAGCCCTGCCCACGAGAGCTGACGGGAAAAGGGACGCCGGGGCACACAGAGTGCAACGAAGCGGGCGGCAGGGGTGAACAAGGAGATCTCTGGGAGCGAGGGGGTGGCCCCGAAGGGCCTTTTCGGGCCGTCCCCGGGGGCCCCGCGGGGGAGCGAGAGGAGGAGGAGGAGGAGGAGGAGGAGGAGGAGGAGGAGGAGGAGACAAACCGCCTCTTGGGGCCCTCGCTCTGGTGGCGCTCTTGGGGCCACCTTGGGGATCGTCGTGGGGACTCCTTGGGGCTCTCTCAGGGCCCTCTTGAGAGCCCTCTAAGGCTCTTTGGGGCCATCTTATAGGGCGTCGATCAAAGGAGGAGGGGTCCTCGATTTCCGCCCCGCCGCTCCTGGGCGCTCTTGGGGCCATCTGGAGGGCCTCGTGGGACTCTCTTGGTACTCTCTGGGGCCATCTTGAGGCTTCAGACGCGTATCAGAAGCGAGAAGGCGAGAAAACACAAATCCGCGATTGCCCATATACTAAGAAGGGATGGTGGCTTCTTAGGGGAGATCCGCGGGGGTTTCCGATGGCACCTGGCCCCGTCTTGTGGCCCTCGTCGGGCCTCTTGGAGATGTGTCTGAAGCTATTCAAGAGGGAAAAAACACACAGACACACTTAATCGTCGATTCCCCAGAAAATATGGGAAATGGGGGGGAAGACGGAAACCCAGAAATGTTTTGGAAAATATGGGGGATATTTTTATTTGTGTGTATTCAATTGTGTGTCCCAGGGCCCCTTCAGCTATCTTGAACCATCTTCGGCTATTCTGAGCCGCCTTGGAGGCCATCTTGGACGCTCTGACCCTTCGCCGCCCGCCCAGAGCACCTCGGGAAGGGGGGGGGAAGGTAGCCCTTCCCGCAGGGAAGAGGGCTCTTGGAGGAGGAAAGAGAGAGAGAGAGAGATCCTTAGACCACCTCGGGCCAAAGGGACGGTGGGACTAGAAGGTCCCGGGGCTTCCAAGACGCTTTCCTGGAAGCTGGGATGGCGTGTAGAAGCTGGCTTCCAAGAAGCCCTCTTGGAAGCCGGTTTCCAAGAAGCCTTCTTGAAAGCCCCCGGACTTCTCAGACCTCGCTTTCTCAGAAGGGTGCCCCCATCGCGCCATCCCGTTGTGCGCGCCGTCAAAAGGCGACAAGAGGCAGGAGTGTGGAGGAGAACACCACGAGGAAGCTTGTGAAGGAGATCAGGGGGTCACGGGAGTCGTTGTGCAGCGACGGGGCGTTGTCCCCGATGCGGACTTTGATCATGGCCAGTCATGAAGGGCTCAAGTCATTGTGTCACAAGCTAGTCCACGAGAACCCATATTTTGATTCTGTGATGGGTGTTGTGATAATTGCGAACTCTGCGGTCATTGGTATCGAGACGCAGATGCGATTAGACAATGAGAATGAGGAGACCCATCTCATGTTCTGGATTGAGTCTCTATTTCTCGTATGCTTCGTTACAGAGCTCATTGCTCGTTGGCTGTCCGACGGGAGGAAGAATCTATCCTCTGGTTGGTTCTGGTTTGATTTGTCATTAGTGGTCACCGGTGTGATCTACACTTGGATAGTTGACCCCATCTTGGCCGCAACGTCTCAGGATTTACCAATCATCTCTCAGCTCCTCACCTTGCGGGTGCTCCGGTTGATGCGGTTGGTAAGGGCATTGAGGTTGATGGAACAGTTCAAGGAATTATGGAAGCTCTGTAGTGGGCTCCTCAGGTCGTCCCGCACGATGCTGTCGGTCTGCCTCCTGGTGTTGATATCCATATTTGTTTTTGCTTGCTTGGGTGTCGACTTGATCAGTACATCGCCTAAGCTCATCAATAACGAGACAACGCGGGCGATTGTCGAGGAGCACTTCTCGAGCCTAATGGTGACCATCCTCACTTTGATGCAATGCTGCTGCCTGTGGCGGTCCCCGCCGCCGTGCCAGCGTGGCAGTCCACACAGGGCGTGTCTCCTCGTCGTCCGCCTCCTCCTCCTCCTCGCTCCTCCCTCTCTCCTCTCACACTCATCTCTGCCTCGGAGGCTCTGCAAAATGACCTTGGGGTCGGACGGTAAGCAAGTGCACGGTCATCGCGTCGTTTCTGGGGGGGGACCCTTGATTGTTTTTTGGGGGACTTTGGGTGTTCTCGCGGGGGCTGGGGACTCTGCTGGGGGCCTTGGGCCGTGCGGGACGCGATCATTCTCGTGAGTCCTCCAGAAGATTAGTATGCAGTTCGTGGGAGGTTACATGCTGGTATCCGTGGCCAGACGCCGCCCCCAAATCTGGCATCATCCCATGCAATCCCGTGCTGATCTTGCTCAATGCGGGTGGGCCTGGCTTGAGCATGGCATTGCTCTGGGCTGGTGTGGCTGCATGGCACCTTAATCTGGTCTGGTACCGCAATCGTACGCACAAGGACGTCCCATGAGTTCTGTCTCGACTCGGCCACGCGCAGAGGGGGGGAGGGGGAGGGGGGAAGGTTTCTTAGAAGCACTCCTGCTTATTAGGCGCGGGCCTTCTATACATGGAAGGCTAGCGCCTTCTAAGGAGCAGCCCCCTTCTACTAGGAAGTCTTCCCCCCTCCGCCTACCCCCCTCTGCGCGCGGCTAACCAACGAAGGGGCTGGGCTGACCCATCTTGAGTCTGTCTGATCGGGCACCGGGCCGTCTTCGAGACCTCGAGGCCTCCTGTGGCGGCCCCGGGCAGTGCTGGGATGGTCTCGCGCCGTGTTAGGGCTCCATTAGGGCTGTCTGGGGGATTTCTTAGCGCCCTTTGGGGCCATGTCTGAGGAACATTCCAAAGCTTCCTGAGGCCACAGTGGGCCAAAAAGCTTCAGAGGCCGATGCGTTGAGCGTGATGCACATCGGATAGTATGGGCGTTCCATGTCTGTTGGACTTCTGGTGTCTTGCTGGACGTTTCCATGGGCGCCCTGTGCGGTTCATTGAAAATTCGAATACATCTCAGAGTTTGCATTTGGGTTGCATGCAGTCTTCTTGGAGCCTCTTGGGGCTCTCCTGGTGCTGCCGGGGGGCGCCCTGGAGCAACACGTGGGTGGAAGCGATACTTATCTGAGCACGGGGGCAGTCGTCTTCAGAGCGTTCCAAGATCCCTACCAGACGCTAGAGTGCACCCTTAGACTCCCAAGCATGCCGTGGATACGGCTGCGGATTCGCAAATGCCGACTCTCTGGCGAGCGTATATTCAAGACGCCTCGCGTTCACCGCCATCCCATGTTGGCTGTCGCTGGGCGAGCCAGAGATAGCCCCAAGACGGATCAAGACCCGACGAAATCAGTCGAAGACGGTCCCGCAGGTGCGTTCTGTTACCTACGCAGGCATGCCTTGGGTGGTCGTCGTCTGAAAATCGGTACTGACAGGACCACCCGCTCAGTGATAGCGAGGCTTCCTCCGACCTGTCCATTTAAAGAGACTAGAGCTAGCCAGAGGGGGGCCCAAAATTGCCCCGAGAGTGCGCGAAGGGCAGATGACCCCGAGATGAGCCCCTACAAGTCCACAGCCGGAGGGGCCCCAAGCGTAAGCTTACTCGCGATTGCCAAAATCCCTGCCCAGACTGCATGTAATCCGGGCCCGCGCTTAGGCCAGCTAGGCGTTCGAGGCCGGTGACCAGGTTCGGCTCAGAATCATAGATACAGCAATCCTAGAGCGCATCTGGAACGGTTTTCCATATTCTTTCAAAGCCACGAACGAGCCAAACATGTTCCCCAGCCAGAGGAGCGTAAGTATACATTTACATGTGTTTTCCCAGCACAGCGCGTCGTTGCCGCTCGTCGCCTGGGCTTGCGGGCCGCTCTTGCCGCCATGTGGCCGCCGCCGTCGTTACCTCGTTGCCCCCCGCCTCCTCGTCGCCGCACTACATTATTTTGCGTCACATTGGGTTGCATTGCTTGGCGTTGCTCGAATTGCTCGGCATCGCTTGGAACTGGATGGCATTGCTTTGCATGGTTTTGCATTGCTTGATGTTGCTTCGCATTGCACCGCATTGCTGTACATGGACTTGCGTGTTGCTTTGTATTGTCTTGGAATGAACATGCGATGCCGTTGCGCTATCAGATCTGCGATCCACTTGCCTGAGTGGTGCAAGTGGGGTCTAGTGGGCACCTTCACTTTCCACGCGTATCCTTCGAGCCTGTGCGGGCCTGTAGAACAACTGTGGCACATCGGTCGCGTTCCAAGTAACCAACCAGACCCCCCGTCCTTCCCCTTCCTTGCTTCCCGCCCCCCATTTGCTCCTTCGACTCGGTCCACTCCTTGCTCCAGCCATAGCCACGCTGGTTCAAGCGCCCTGAAAGGTCAGGTAGCGGTTGTATTGGCACCAAAGCCGGCAATGGCTTCCACCGACGATGGTCCGGATTTCGCCGAGACCCCGCCGTCGCCGCCAGCTGAACAGGGCATGGAGAGCACGTGCGATGTCGCCGCTCGCGTGTGGCCGTCGGTCACGGGGCATGGCCGCCCTGGCCGCCCTGGCCGTCCTCCGAAGTCCGGCGACGTTTGCGAGGGCGCGATGGTCAAGGTCTTCGGGTTTGGCCCGTCAGAGGTTACACGGCGGCCATAGCATTCTAAGAGCCAGGACAGCGCTGTGCGCTGGTCGGCGGGTCAGTGCTGCCCCGTGGGAACAGTGCGCGGCGAGGGGGTGCCAAAATCCCCCCGCTTAGGACATCGTGAAAATGCTCGGCCTTTTTGTCTTCGATGCGACACAAACAGGGGCAGGCGACGCTGACGAGATGCTGGCAGTCCCCATCCAGACCCAAGCAGACCCCGGCGACCTTCCGCAAATCCAGCCGAAGCTGACGCCGCGGACGTGAAGCGGAAGCTCGGCCCCCATCGCTGCGCATCCGCATTGGGGATTCCGCTTTCTCGATTGCGCCCAGTTGCCGCTGGCTGCGGACTTGTCAGGCCCATTATCCGAGGTGCCGCGCCATTACGGGCCAGATCGGGCGGAGGACGAATTTCTAATGTACATATATTCGGCTGACATGTGCGAAAAATCTGTTGCCACGAGTTCGCGCGCGGGGCGCGCCCGCAGTTTATGTCCACAAGTGCTTCGTTTCGGCCTCCGGTGGGTTTGACAAGCGCACGTGTCGGCAGCGCTTGCCGAGTGTTTCTGCCGTGTGTGGGTGGGTGGGGGGGGGGGGGGCACGTGGGCCGCCGCGTCAAAGCCTGCTGCGCAGCTGCGCACTATGTTTTGTTCGGAGGCCCGCGCGAACGAAGGCGGAGTCGATTCAGTGGGTGGCCGCGCCCTCCGCGCGCCCGACGCCCCTCTCTCTCCCGCCAGGATTCGAGCACGCAGCGAAAAACTACGCGTCGGCGCGGGAGGTGTTGGCGGAGATTGTTGCCGACACCGGGGTCCATGTTGACAGCGGTACCGTCGCGTTGTCCTCCTTGAACAGGTTAACCACGCCGCCGCATCGCACTGCGTTTCCGGCGGCGGCCGCGGCGGATGCCTGGCCGCCAGCGGCGCCCCACCAAGGCCGCGGCGTCATGTTTGGGCGGGCTGGGCGCCAGGGCGCGCGCCTCAGCGACGCCAAGGGGGCGCGGCAGGTTCGGCGATCGGCGCCTTCCACCGGGGCCGCCGCCCATCCCCAATGCGAGCTGCCGCGCGCTCGTCGGCGAGCGTTTGCTGGGCCGCCCCGCCGCGTCGGAGCCGCTGTCTGGCGGGGCCGCGCGCGCGGGCGACGCTGCGATCGAGGGCCGCGGGGGCAGCGTCGCGAATTTCGGCCGCAGCGCCCTTTCAACTGCGGGGCGCAGCATGTGCCGCGGCGCGGCGCAGTCAGAGAGCTCCAAGGACATTGCCTTCGCAAGCCGCCTCAAGGCGCGCCGCGGCAAAGGCGGGCGGAAAGCGCGGCGCCGGCGCGTTTTGGCTCGGGCAGTGGAAGATCCACAAGTTCTTCGCCCCCCGTTGCGTCGTGCGCCAGATGCCCGCCCGCGCCCGGGGGGCGCGGCCATCTCCGAGAGGTTCCAGTGTGTCTGGTACGCGGACGGAGGCGCCTGCTGGGCCTGCGACGCCGCCAAAGAGTTTGGGCGCGGGCAGTCCGGCCGGAAGGGCCGGCGCGCCGCGCGGAGCGAGCGGCGACGCGATGAGGGTGGGCTCCCCGAGTCGATGTCGGACGATGCGATTCGTGCCGCGAGCGATTTCGTCGCCAACCCTCCGCGCCATCTCGGAGCGGTTTTCGTCGCGAAGGTCCAGCGCGCGGATGCGGGCGCCCGGAAGTTCGCGCACGTGGCCTTGCGGCCCGCGGACATTTGCCCAGAGGTCTAAAAGGACAGTTTTCCAGGAACGTATTTTATGTTTCTGGAAAATAGTCCCGGGACTATTTTTTAGGAGCGTAGTTTTCATGAACAATGTAAAATCCGAGCGCGAAGTTTGGTTCGGTGCCACAATCATTACATGCAGCGTTAGACGCGAA